CACACACACACACACAAACACACACAAAAATGAAGGCGATACAAATATCAGAATACGTCAAGTCACACTCGGACCTACGAGTCACGGACGTACCCAACCCGGTCCCCAAAGCGGACGAGGTGCTGGTGACGGTCACGCACAGCGCTCTGAACCACGTCGATTTACTTTACGCCAAAGGTCTACACCAGAACAACCACGGCGGGCTGGTCAAGCCTCCGTTCGTGCTGGGTTTGGAATTTGCCGGCGTCGTGGCGTCGGCGCCGCCGCGGTCGGGATTCGAGGTCGGCGACGAGGTCTGGGGGGCGAGCGTGGGAGGTTACGCCGAACGGATCGCCGTCCCGGTCTCGTCGGTCCACCGTCTCCCCCGGGGTTGGACCCTCCACGACGTCGCGGGCCTGGGTGCCGCCACGGCCCCCGTGAGTTACGGCGCCCTGGTCCGCCTCGCCCGCCTCCGGGAGGGCCAGACGGTCCTGGTCCACGCCGCCGCCGGCGGGTTGGGTGTGTTCGCCGTGCAGATCGCCCACGCCCTGGGCGCCAAGGTCGTGGGCACGGTGGGGGGTGAACAAAAGGCGGCCGTCGTCCGGAAGTTGGACGGCGTTCTCGGGGTGGTGCGGTACGACCTGGATGGGTGGGAGAAGCAGGTTTTGGATCTGGTTCCAGGGGGCGTCGACGTCGTATACGACACCGTCGGACTGGTGGGCAAAAGTATCCGTTGCCTCAAGTTCGGCGGGAGTGTCGTCGTCGCGGGATTCGCGGGCCTCGGTGGGAAAATGGAGACGTTGTCCATGAATAGGGTTTTGCTCAAGGGAGCAAAATTGCTGGGATATGTGAGTGTTTTTTTTTCTTTCTTGTTTGTCGTGACGCAAAACCTGTTCATGTGTCATGAGAACTGACACACGGCACAAATAAGAGATACGGAGAGACCGGACGACGCAACCCCGGTGAAAACGAAGAGGTCTGGAAGGGATTGAACTCGATGCTCCAGGGCAACAAGATCAAACCCGTCATCTACGGCACGTATCGAGGTCTAGAAAGCGTCCCGAAAGCTTTGGACGACCTGGCGTCGAGAAAGGTTTGGGGCAAGGCCGTCATTGAGATTCGGTCCCCTTTGTCGGTCGTCGACACCAAGACGGGTGCAAAGCTATAAAATGTACAACCGTGTCACGAACCTTCTCTTTTCAACAAGGCTCTATCTCATCACCAATCCACCGTCGACAATCAATTCCTGTCCGGTTATGGCGTCCGCCCAAGGACCGGCAAAGAACAATACCGCACCGGCGAGGTCTTCGGGGGTGGTCACTCTCCTCAAAGGTGTGATGGCTTTGATTTGCTCAAACACTTCCTCGGGGGTCGACGCGCTCGCGTCCGTCGTTTCCAATAATCCACCGGAAACCATGTTGACCGTGACCCCCTTGGGTCCGAGTTCAGTCGCGCAGGTCCTGGTGAAACCCAAAAGGGCTCCTTTGGCGGCGGTGTAATCGTGGTAAGGGACCACGGGGTTGTGAAACAAGTTACTACCAATGTTGACGATCCTACCACCACCGCCGCCGCCGCCGCCAGCAAACTTTTCGAACCCGGGTAAGGCGGCTCGTGTCGTGTTCAAAGTACCTCTGAGAAACCCCTGGAGTTGACCGTCGAAATCCGACCAGGAAATGTCGGGGATTTTGCGACGGCCCGACTCGCCGTTGAACTCGAACCCACCGGTGATGGCGTTGTTCACGACCGTCGTGATGGGTCTTTGGAAATGTTTTTCCGCCGCGTCGAACAAGGCCTTGACCTGGTCTGGGTCCGTGACGTCCGCTCGAAAGGGGAAAGCACCACCCATGTCTTTGGCGACACCCGCAACGGTCTCCGGGTCGGATGAGTGGTAATTGAGTACCACTTGTGCCCCTTGGGCTCGAAATGCTTTGGCGATGGCCAATCCAACTCCTCGTGACGAACCTGAGGGTTTTGGGGAGTGGTTGGCATGTGCGAAAAACAGTGAAAGATTTGAAGGGTAATGGGTATTTTAGGGGTTTGGGTAACCGCCGACTGCGGTCAAGTAAATGGCTATGACTTACCTGTCACGAGGACAATTTGATCTTGAAGTCTCATATTGAAACTTCAACCGAATATGGATTTGAGATCAAGGAGATTCGCCAAAGGAGAGTGCAAGAGGAGTTTCGGAAGAATTTCTTGATAGGTGACTTTTGGTGATCGTAAATGATATTGAGCAGACTGGCAAAAAGAAAATTCAAACGACTATCACGTCGATATTACCTAGGTACCTAGGGAGAATAGGTAGGTGAATATCCTGGGTATCTTTACAAGTATTGCGGTTGGACTCGGAGTTGTTCCTTGGGAATCGGTTCGACTCTGATGATTGCGGGGTCCCTTTTTTCCCCCTACCACTTTCACCCACGGTATGAAATATTTCTCTCTTAATCATGGTAGGACATAATTTCTCTCTCTCTCTCTCTCTCTCTCTCGTCATTATGAACAAAAAGTAATACCAAAGAGACTAGGAACGAAATGAAAAAAAATAAAACCACTCTGCGTGGGACTCGAACCCACAACTAAATTTGGATATTAGTTTTGTGTTCATGGTAACGCGTTGAAGGAGAGTTCTCTTACCCTCCAGATTTCATAAATAGAAGTCTGGCGCGCTACCATTGCGCCAGCAGAGCACGTGAAGTGCGTGCCCCGGTTAAGAAGACGCCCTGTGTGTCTGTTCGGCGAACATTTTACACCGGTTTTTGCCGTGTCGAATATATGTCACTTTCTCAGGTCGCACCCCACAGCGGATTGTAGATTCCTCGATAACTTTGTGCTCAGTATGTGTGACTTGGCGTGGAGTATGACGTCACCCCAGTGACCACCCATCAATGCTCTCCTCTACAAGCACTTGTGTGCTTCTTAGGATGCTTCGTTCCTGGGTGTTGTTAATCTCTCTCCTTGGCCTCAGCTGTATTTAAATAGTCATGGTTGCTATATATGCATACTCTCAACATTACATTCTACAAGTAATAGTTTCTGTATCAAATCACTCCTCCCACCCGCGTCACACCTGCATTCCATGCTCCATATCATCCAATTGCATTTCAACTACATGCACCCTTCCCCCTCATCGCTTCCTTGCATTGCCAACACACCCGCGTCGATATTCTCGCCAGGATCTTGACCCCTAACCCTGGGGAACAAAAAGGCCCGTCCCTAGCGTTCTCTTCCGAGGGCTATGGCTGTAAACGAGAGAAGAATTTCAACTGGTTTAGCCCGATCAAGAGCCATCCTGCATCCATGACTTGCTTGGTTCGTCTTCTTGCTTCTGGTGGTTCGCAGTAGGCTTGCATTGGTTTCCCAGTGATAGAACCTAGGCCTGTAGGATCCCACTGTCAGCCTCGAGCACTTACACCGGTCAAGGCGCAGTCGATCAGCACCTGCTGTTTGATTGGCAGCATTCTACGCGAGCATCTTTCACTCTTGTTCATATCACATTGCGGCGCTTCTTTATCATGATTCTCGAAACAAAATCCCATGGCATCCTCGATTTTGACACCTCATTTCCGCCATGGAAGCGGTCGGCGCGGCAACTGCGATTCTGACCATAGCAATTGAATTCCAGCATATTTGTAAAAAGCTGAATCGATTCATCAAAAATGTAAAACATGCTCACAATGATGTCGAAGTCATCGCCCACGAGGCAGAGACATTTTTTCTACTGTTGCAGCGATTCGGAAAGACGATGCGGACGGCTGACTCACCTGAAGGAGGGTTCCTGATGGATATGGGTTCCAACCATATATCCGAAAAAATCGTGCAGGCATCGCAAGTCATCGGGCAGAAGATTCGACATCTACTTAAAAAGTCGGAGCCTCTCCGACTTGACAAGCCAGAATACTCCCAGATCAAAAGATGGCTCACTCTCCTAAAGTGGTCCAGTTGGAAGGAAGAATGGTCACAGATCCACCTGTTTCTCGTTTCCACAAAACTAGATGCAGAGTTGCTCATATCGATAATAGGCCTCGAGGCCCTTATCAACCACAAAAAGGCACTCGAGATTAGCCATAGGGAAGTTCCAGAGGATTTGCAACAGGAGCTGTACGTAATCAATGATCCGCGTCGAAGGAAGTCAGTTTGCTAACCTGGCCACAACAGGGAGGTCAGCAGGAAAGCCATCAAAGCGCTTCGTAGGAGTGTTAAAAAGTTGAAGAACAAATTCCAGCGCCTAGAGCTCCGCACAGAAGATCGAACTGCTGTGCAGGTAAACATACTTCTGGCTGAGACAACTCAACATATTGTGGAAAGTTATGTCAACACACACGAGGAGATCAAAGCCGTTTTGACGACCGATACCCCACCGACATCTCCCCAGGTGAGCAATATGGAATCAGGAGGCACAGTCGGCCCTTCTGAGGAGGGAAATCCTACGCAATCTCGAAATTCCATAGTAGAAAACAGCCTCGTAGTCGAGAATGGCTCGCCTGGAGGATCAGAAACCCCCAGTATCATTGATGATGATAACGACGGCGAACTAATCGACATCGTATGGGAGGGTGGGGACTCTGTAGAAGAAGTCATTGAGCGAAGCTTCAGAAGTCAAGACTCCGAAGTGGTCGTGGAAGAAATGGCGAGGGAAGTTCGTGAAGAAAGTGACGGCGGAGCATCTACAAGCCACGATTCCCGACAGTCGATAGATGATGGGGTGGTTGAGGAAGGACCGAGTGTCCGCGAAGAACATACAAGCCGTGCTTCCCAACGATCGATGGATGAGAAGTTCATTGAGGAAGGACCAAGTGTGCCTGGAGAGATTGAAACTGCAGAGGCTAATCCCGCGCTTTCAGAGACTGAGAGTGCGTTATCATTCATGGACTTCACATATTCGGAGGAACCACCAAAGAAGAAGCCCTCCGAGCAATGGATGCAGTCAGCGCAATACGGCCTTCATGGTGGGAAAGTACGTCGACGCAGGCAACGGCCCAAGGCTCTGGATATGTCGCCACAAGACATTGTCGTCGACCGGAATGATGGACTAGGCGCACGTCATGAATATCGGCTTCCGCGGCGGCCTAGAGATTGGTCGACATCAAAGGACTGATCGCCCTGCCGTCCACCTTTCGCTTGCACGTCTGGTGTTCTCGCGCAAAGATGTACAGTATTCGGGGCCCGTGTTGAAACTGGAATTATCGTCGCCAAGGGAAGTTGTGAATGCCAATTTCTCATCAAGCACCGCCAAGGAGATTGATGGATCGAGTTTAGAAGCACTTTCTCCCGACCGTGACTTCATGAACGATTTTGTGCTCGTACCGATAACCATACAGCCGCTCGTCAGGCCCGATTTAGAACAGACGGGAACAGTGTGGAGCGAGGCAAGAACCTTTTGACACAACGGTAGCAGGGACTTATAAGTAGAAACGCGCGTCTGGAAGTTGAGAAGGCGGCACGCGACTTCGCTTCTCCCCCACATCGTCACATCGTCACATCGTCACATCGTCGTCGACAGGTGGAAGTTCTTTTGACGTGAAGTCGCGGACTGTTAATTTGGCTTTGTATTCCGTATAGTTGGGAATCTTTGCTCTTGTGGTTGTGGTTGTGCCTGCCCGAGTATTGAGAAAGTCATATGTACCCATGACCGGTGGCCAAATGTCGGGTCTCAAAAGTTATGGCAAGTGCCCGCAACAAAAATAGACAGTAACTTTTCGCGACAACCGTTTCGATCAAGATCAAAGTTTGAGCCTTGACCCTGTACAGTATAAATGAGACCGCGGGAAGCTGTTGTACAAGTACACTTCACTGTTAATATAGCTCCCGAGACGATCATTTCCCGTGCTACCCGTTTCAATACGAGCATTGGGTTTTGGCCATTCGATCCGGGGGTATTGTTGAAGATCCCGCATCCAGACCAGGTAAGTAGGCACGAGTGGATGTACATACTTCGTACTCGTATTCTGTTGTATGGATGCCTCGTCGTTGACTCACTAAAGGTTGATGATAGGTTGAGTTGTCACCTAAGTAAGGGGGCTCCATAAGAGGGTGACGTCTCCCATCAGCCAGCCTCTGGGGGCTAGAAGTATAACGTCCACCGGCGCGTGAGAGACTGGTCAAAGAGAAAGGGAAAAATGAAACCGGATTCCCGTGGAAGTATAGGACCCTGTCATGTCAATTGAGGGCATTTTGCCTGGCAGAACAAGACCATAAAGAGTTACAATTGTTCCAGCTTCAAGCCATTACGTTTCTTGGCCCCGGCAAGAAGACGTGAAGGAGCGAGGCTCACAAGGCAAACAACAGCAAGATGATCGAGTCTGGCGTTGTTTGTAAGGAGTAGGCGGTAGGCCAGCGTCGCTCATCAACAGAGCGCGTCAGGACAATGATGCCAAGCTGTCTGTCGCAATGTGTCTGTTGAAATTTGCAGTCTATACAGAAAATATCGTGAGCGACAAGTGGTGCCGAGCTTGGCTGTTGAAAAGTGAAAAGGAGGATACCTAACTAGGTACTAGGTCAGTTTCACGAGAGCTTCATTAGCCTTTACTTACTTTGAACCAGAGTGCTTATTACCTCGACTCCAATGGTCCGAGGTGAAGAAATTCTACAGTACGGAGTAAATTGTTTCACGTCATCTTTTCCTTATTCTTTTCTTGGGACTTTAATAGCGCGCAAGTGTGTCACCAGTGTCAAACAAAAAAAAAATAGGTCGTACTCCGTATTATTAGTACTATCAGGGTATCTTAGCTGGATCGGGAGTGAGGAGAACGGCCAACACCAACAATATTCTAGAGTACTACGCGTACTACAAACCATCAAGAGTCACATCTGGCGTTGAGGTACTCCGTACTCCATATGACATACTCCATAAAAGATCCTCATTCATACGAGTACATACTCCGTAAGGAGTGATAATACGAGTAGAGAATATCCCGTACCTAGTGACAAACCACCTCCTCTTTTACCGTCTCACCAAACACCCTCCCTTCGTGTGCACGTTCACACTGCCTCGACATGATTGGCAATCTCCATACCACCAACCACCCCCCAACTAGGTTTTGTCACTCCTCCTTCTCTCATGCTCGCTCTAGGATCACTTAGCCATGCCCACTTAAAGAAATGGGCAAAGTCAGTGAAACTCTCGTAGATCATGCATTCATATTATTCTCTTTCTTTTTTCTGCTTCTCCTATTTACAGTGCCTTTCGTCTGGTCGACTTCTTCCCGTCGTCGTCGTTGATTCGTCGTGACCATGACGGCGTTGTTGTTCTTTCCGACCTTTGTGCTACTACTGCTGTTGTTGGCCGCATCGAGCACGGCACTTCCACCACCCAATCACCAGTTTCACATCACCGCCAGCACCACCACCCAGCAGGAAAGCCTACAACCGGCCTGGGCCAACGATGTGAATCCTGCGTCGATACATCACAATATACACGCGGACCAAGACTTACCTGTGGCAGAGGGTGACGCATCGATTCCGGTAATGGATTTACCTGATCAGACCGAAAACCTACCATCGGCACCTACGAGTCTATTGCCATTCTTACAAGAAGACTGGTGAATGATTTCCTTGTTGTCGAGATACTACCAACAAAAAAAAAGGAGCACCGTCAACTTCTTCGCCGACAGCCTACAGGAATTCCAGCAGACCAACCATTGAGCGAAAACTATTGCCCAATAAATCATAGATCTACACGAGCGACAAC